TTTCCCTTTTTTTTTCCTTGTCTTTTTTTTTCTTTTTTTAACCCCCCTTGTGTGTGCAAGTTGGGGTTTTTTTTTAGTTCTCTGGGAGCTGCCGACTAAGGGGAGGCGAGCGGGAGCGGGGGTGCACGGCTCACCCCCACGCTCCCCTCTTCCCAGGTGTCCCTGTCCTGGTTTTTATTTTGTGTTTTTGCCCTCTCTGTTGTCTCTAGTCATCCGGCGCCCCGTCCGACAATGATCCTCTCGGTCCCCTTCCTCCCGGCTGGGGTAAGTACTGAGCCGCTCTGGGAGCTGCCGACTAAGGGGAGGCGAGCGGGAGCGGGGGTGCACGGCTCACCCCCACGCTCCCCTCTTCCCAGGTGTCCCTGTCCTGGTTTTTATTTTGTGTTTTTGCCCTCTCTGTTGTCTCTAGTCATCCGGCGCCCCGTCCGACAATGATCCTCTCGGTCCCCTTCCTCCCGGCTGGGGTAAGTACTGAGCCGCCTCACCTGCCTGCCGCCGCGCAGCCCAGCGGGGACGCTCCCCCGTCAGCCGGAGCGGGACCCTGCCCGCCCCGCGGGGAGCACGGTGCTCTCAGCAGCTCCTTCGCTCCCACCCCTGGCATCGAGGGAGGGGTGGCTGGGGAGCCAGTGTTCCCTGTGCTCTGCTGCATGTGGGGCTGAGTCTGCCCGTGATCAGCATGATCTCTGATTTGAAATCCAGCTTTTTTTCCTTCTTTTTTCCTCTTTTCCTGGAGGAGTTCCCAGTTTCTCTCTGCTACTTGAATGCAAGAAGTGCTTGTGGTTGTTCTTTTGGATGGGGGGAGAGGTTGGGGATCCAGCTCCTCACTCGTCCCCAGTCCCCTCCTCTGCCGAGCAGGGATCTGTCCTGCTGCCGTGCGTGCTTCCCGGGATGCTCTGCCCCGGTCTGCAGCGGGGCTGGGAGCTGGCAGGAGCGGGGCTGGCTCTCCTGTCCCCACAGCCCGAGCATCACGAGCTGGGATGTTTTGAAAGGTCCCTGTCCCATCCGTGGGGTAGAGAGACCCCCCCTCCATGGCAAGAGCGTCACTGGAGGGGGATGGCGGAGTGCAGATGGGCTGTGCTGTGCCGGGCAGGCAGGGTGGGCAGGAGAGAGGTTAAAACTGTGGGAGTCTGGAGCAGGACAGAGGGGCCCAGGCTGCTAAGGGGGTCTCCAGGGGAAGGGTCTCTATGGGGATGGTGCTGGAGCCTTTGCTGCTGCCCACCTCCTGCATCAGCAAGGTGAGCCCTGGCTCGGAGGAGGGTGTCAGCTGGGCAGACTGGGGGAGGCACAGCCCTGCGTGGGGCTGGGACCCGCTGGGCTGGGGTGGGGGTCCCTGGCATGGACGCGCTCCCCGGGATGGATGCAGTCCTGGTCATCGCATGTGGGGTCTGCCAGAGCCACGGCCCTGGGGGCTGAGTCCAGCAGTTTGGGAGTGGGACGCCGTGAGGGTGGCCGGGAGGTGACAGGGAAGCGTGCGTGCAGGGCGTCCCTGCCGGCATGGAGCGGGGCCGTGCGTGCGGGGAGTGACGCAGGCACGTGGAGGGAGGGAGGGAGGAGGTGTGTTGTGTGTGGGGCACACGTGTTGGTGGGGAGGCAGCGAGCGTGCGTGGGCGTGCGCAGGGGGGCGGCTGGCGAAAGGCAGAGCGGCGGTGG